AATGAATGAATGAAAATCAAATTGATCGGAAATGATCAATTTTTCCATGACCTTGTTCTTATTTTCGCTGTTGATTTTTCTTTCTGTTCTTATTCAAATCTGATTAGAATTTTGATTCCCTGGGTTGAAAAAGGAATTTTAAATGAAAAGAAAAAAAAATGATGAATAATCCGGTATTTCTCCAGAGAAAAAGAGATTTGAAAACGAAGGTTAACCCTGAAGTGGTATCCAAATGATGATGGCCGAAAATTCTTCCAATGAAACGAAAAAAAACACTATGATTATGAAATTAATCCAATTAATTTTTTTTATTTACAAACAAAATTTTGAAAAAAGTTTTAATAGGAAAATTATCATTATTAGTTGATATTTTTCTTCATTATCTTTCATCCAGAAAAATACTTGAAGGAAAATCTCTTTGAAAATGATGACTTGTTGCTGTTATATTTTTCTCTTTCGTTTCTCTTTTTCTCACATTTTTTATTCCTGGTTATTTCAAAATTTTCTTAGGGAAAAAATAATGAAAGAGAAAAACAATGTTGAACAACGACGAAGGAAGAAAAAATATCACTGGACTTTTTTTTCTCCATTGATCATTTCATGATTGTTTTTCGGTTTTTGAATGTCGTCAAATTTTTCCCCATATTCATTATTTGAGTTAAATGTTTTGTTCCATTTGGCTTTTGGCAATCATTTTTTTTTGTTCTTAATCTTGACTAACTCTAATTTGCTGCTTGTTGATGATAAACAACTGGGTTTATTTGTTCAATCATAAATCAATCGTTGCTAAATTTTTCGGCTTCACTTTTCATTTTCAAATTGGTATGTGAATTTCTGAATCTAAGTTTTATTCATTTTTTTCCATTTATTCATCCAAAAAAATAAATGGAAGAATCTAGAGAATATATAGAATGTTTTTCTTTCCTTAATTGGATACATTGCGAAATTTTCATTTTTTTTTGTTTGCCCTGCTATTTTTTCATTATTTGGTCAATTTTTCATGAATCTGGTTGTACCAATACTGTTGCTGATGTATTAATAATAATAATAATTCTATACCCATTCATATTTGGTATTTCACTTATATATAAGTAATGGGATGCCATCTAAAAATTAATGATATAAAAAATCTGGGCTCAATTTTTATTTAAAATACTTTTAAATAGGATTTCCAAGAAATTTTTTTTTTTTTTTGCTTGAACAATATTTCTTCATCATTTAATCTCATGATGACGATAATTGAAAGGATTTTAATTATCAATGTATATGTCGTAATTATAGAAATGATTGACTATTATTCGTCTTGCTGAAATTAATCATCAGTAAATTTGAGAAATTCGTATTTTGTTTCTGTAATTAAATCTTTTCAATCTTTTAGTGCAGTAAATTTTTTTTTCTGCGTTGAATACCAGAGAGATTCGATCCATCTTGATTCTCCAGCCCATTTTATTGATTTGTTTCAAAAAGACAAAGCCAAAATATATCCCCTTTTTTGAGATGAATGATAAGACTTTTTTTTGGCAATCCAAAAGCCATTGCGATGACCGAATTCGATGAAATCTTTTATTTTGTTTTACCAAATGCATATCATTATAAATCTAAAAAAAAAATTTTCTTAATTTTCTTTTCAAATAGACTTTTGTTTTGTTTTGTTTCGATTGGAAAAAACAAATGAAGATTGCTGAATCCGAAGACGAAAATATATCAATTGGCATCAAATAATAATTTTTAAAAAGGTAAGAAAAGTCGAAAAAATTATGAAAATTTCAATCATTGTTTTTTTCCATTTATTTTCTCGTTTTTTCTTCTCTTCGTTCACTTCATCCATCCATCCGATTTATTTTGATGACAATTTTTTTGATTTTGAATAAAAAAGCTACGATTTTTTTTCAATTTTGTTCCAATTTTATTTCGTTTTTTATTTCATTCATCTAAAAAAAGACGAATCTTCTATTCTAAATCATCACCATTGTTATCATTATTATGAAAGAAAATTCATTGTTAATGTTAAGCATCGGTTTGAAGCATAATAATAATAATAATAATAGCCATAATAATAATAATAATCTTGAACAAAAAGATAATCATATTGTTGTTAATAATTATACAGAAAATCTAAATAATCGTTTGATTTCTAATGATAATCATTTGATAAAAATATCAAATAATCAACAACAACAACAACAACAATTTCCCAATATTATCAATGTTGTCCAGAATGGTGGACATTACAATGATCAATATTATCGAAATGATGGTAATAATGGTAGATCGAATAAAGTATTTAATAATAATGAAAAATTGGCCAAAATTTCAAATCACATAGCACAACATTCAATATCGTCTTCGTTATCATCAACAACAACATCAAATGCGGTGGCATTGTTTCGTCGATCATCAACATTATCTACAAATTCATCATTAGATTCGATATCAATTTCATCGCCATCAACATCATCGACTTTGAACCATCATCATCATACAAGAAATCATTATCATCATAAACAACATAATAATAACATTGATAATAATAATAGTTATAATTGTCATTATGATCGATTAAATATTTCCCATCAATTCAACCAAAACGGTTACTTTGATCCATATACACGACAAAATTCAATTAAAAACAATATTGATGGTTGTCAATATTCGAAAACAATAACTTCTTTTAATTCTGATCAATCATTCAATGATTCGAATTCAAATTTCACACGAAAATCTTGTTTAAAATCAAATCAATCTAATGGTTTGATTTGTCCGAATCCAACCAAATTGTCAACACCATTGATTGATGACATTGGCAATCATCATCATCATCAACAACAACAACAAAATATTTATGGTTTTTCCAATAATGATAAAGTTTTGACAACCACCAACAGTGATTCAAATAAATCCAAAATCATTGTTGTTGAATCAACGAATAATCATTATCCTGTTTTTATTTCCAATTCAGATAATAATAATCATTGTTTATCATCTATTATCGATTCGAATAAAACAATCAGCACCAATAATAGTATACAAACTTTGCCCACAACAATCATTAATGGTCATTATGTTACCATTGATGATAATACGCCCTTATTATTCGATAACAATCAATATGGTCAATATACGAATGGTAATTACAATCATCATTATAATTATGATAATAATGATAGCCATTTATCAGCCTTATCATTACTATTGATGACGAAAACAGTCGATTTAGATGTTGATAATCGTGATAAAAAATCAATATATTTATTGAGCAACAATCGGTTGCAAACAAATACATCAGCCACGTCTTCCGTTTCAGTTTACGATTTAAATCATCATCATCATCATTCCCCTACCACCACCACCACCACTTCCTCAATCACAGCTGTTGCCCACCATTATTCACCTCCTACCTTTTCATCATCATCTTCATATATCGCACCAACGTCGGCGACAACGATCTCAGTGAATACAACAAATACTCAATCAGAACCTCAACGCCATCCCGAATTAAGCAAACAACAACAGCAACAACAAAAAGATTCAGAAACCTATACAGAATTACTTCGATATCGATCTCAAGAATTTTATAATAAATTAGCTCAACAACAACGATTTCAATCACATCATTCACCTGGTCCAGGTAGCTCTTCCAGTTGTTCGAATCGTACAAACGAAACAATCTATGATACATCATCATATAATAATCATTTTAATGGCCAGCAACAATTACAGCAACAAAAATTATCAAATTCACAAAGTCTTGTCAATGTTCAACAATTGGAATCGAATCAAAATTTGCTGACATTACCTACAATAAACACACAAATACAACGACGACTTACCAAAGAATTTGAATCATTACGTGATCTTTCTATACCACCACCTGCATCATCAACTTTATCATCGACAGTGAATATAGCCGATAATGGTTCTCGCCAATCAAATCATTATCAAAATTCATCGATAAATAGTTCCACTATAAGCAATCACCGTAATCATTTTGTTCATTCACATCATCTAAATCATTTGAATTCTTCATCTTCGTTGCTGCGTTCAAATTCTTCCTTATCACTTAGCCATCATCAAAAAAATAAAGGCTATCATTTATTACCTAAATCGAATATTCATTCAGGTCATAACCTTTTACCTGCATTATCATCAACAAATTTATCGCTATCTTTGATGCCGTCTTCAACATCTTCAACTTCAACGTCGGCAACGACTACGACGAATGGTTTTGCCGCTTTGGCTACGATAGATCGTCGTTTGACAACTAGTAGAAATGTGATTGGTGCTCCAGTATTATTACCATCATCTTCATCATCGTCATCTTCATCTACAAAAGTTATGAATTCAACGAATGCTGCCGTCAACAATCCTTCTGGTACATTGGAATCACATTATAATTCATCGTCATCACCAACATCGATTTCTTCTGGTCTACAGCATGCCTATTCATATCAACAAGCCAAAGTTGCTCAACATATTGTCCATAGTACTGATCATAATGGTGGTGGAACAATTCAAACTTCTCAGCCACAACTGAAACGAACATTAGCTGTTGGCAATAGTAGTACATCAGCACCGACTACACCTCAAAAACCATTATTATCAAGATCGAATAGTTCAAATCCATCAACAGCTTCATCAAATTTACAGCCAGTACCGATACAAACATACCCAACAAATTCTCATAATCAAATTAACAACAACAACAATTTACCTCAATCAACTATATTTGGCCATCCACAACATTATTCACCCGTATCCAATCATTTATCAAATGTTTCATTAAATCAACGACATGCCAATAATTCAAATAGTATGAACATCTCACGTTCATCCAATTCATTGTTAACATCCGGCCACAATGCTACAACCGGTAATGTTATTGTTGGTAATCATAATCAACAAACAATTCATGTGCCTGATCACAATCATCTTTATCATCAATATGGTACTGTGATTGTTCCTCCAAATGTTGTCACCAACAACAATAACACTAATAATAATCAACATTATGTTACAAATGTTGGAAAATTGTCTCAAAATCAACAACAATCAACGACAATGATTCAATCGCAACAAATTTCAACAAAATATAATTCAAATCCAAATGAAAAAACAAATGGTGGATTAACAGTGATAACACCTTGTTCAGTGATATCAACAACAACATCATCAACAACGACAACAACCACATCATCATCATCATGTAATCAACGATATACACAAAGATTTCCTATCGTTTCTTTGATCACAACAACAGCTACAACATCGACAACAACAATGTCAACATCGATGATTCAATATCCAACACAGCAATCAATTTATTCTTCAAATGTACAACAACAACAACAACGTAAAATAACGAATAATCAACCACCAATAATTAATAGTTTATCAAGAAGTTTTTTCGCAAATTCTACTAATCTTTTTGAATCGAAAAAGAATAAATTTTTTGGTTCAGTATCATCAATTGATCTTCAGGTAGGTGTTTTCATTCAAAAAAAATTCTATTTGATAAGCACTTGGTTTTAAAAAAAAATTTAATTCATTTTAGCATCATATTTCTAGAGAAAAAAAAATACTAATTAGTAATCTCTAGTAATTCTAAATATTTTCATCCTTTTATTTTGATAACTAAATCGGATTATATAGTTTTTAATATGTATGGCAAACAAAAATTTGATGATTGATTAGTTTTTGATGAAACAAAAAAAAACTTTTGATGCGTGTGTGAAATGAATTTGAACAAAAAAAAAATAAAAATATTGATTATGCCAATGATGACGTTCATACTATGATAATTTCTGTTTTGTCAAGAAGAAGATTATCATTATTGTCATTGTGATGAATGAATGAAAATAGAAATTGATTTTTTTTTTCATTTGGTATTCCTATAATATAATTCACTGCTTGTGTGTGTTATTTATAACATTATTTAAACAAAGAATGAGAATTGACAATTGATCAAATAAAGTGATTAAGTTTTTATTTATTAACCATCATGATGTTGTTGAATATTTGAATTATGCTCGATCGATCGATCGATCGATTGATAATCAATCAGAAAATTTTTTTGCCTTCTATATACTTTTATTGTTTTTCGTTGTTGATGACAATCTATAAAAATGCCAATAATGAATATATATTGTGTGTATCGGAATATATAATGGATTACTTTTTTGAATATTAAGCATCTCAGAATGATCAAACAACAACGACAACAAAAGTTTTTTTTTGCAAACCTTGCATAGGAAAAATATTTATATATTTTTTTTGTTTATCCTGATCTATTTTTCACCGTTTATGTTAATTTAATAATGCATTTTAAATAGCTATATGCTTTCTCTCTCGCTCTTTGGCATATAATTAACCGAAAAAGAAAAAGATACACATGGCGATGAAAGTTTTTTCTTTCCACCATTTTTTTTATATTCCTTATTTAGTCACTTTTAGTTGGTTGGATATATTTTTTGAATAATAATAAATAATAATGAACGAAAAGTAAAATGGATGACATAAAGGCCAATAACCACCATCATCATTATCATTATCATAATCATTATCATGATCGCTACCAGTTTTGACAACATAATCTTATAGTTTTAATTAATTAATTCATTTTTTTTCTGTTTAAATAAATGATTGATTTACATTTATTGATTTCTTAATCTTAATTAATTTTCAAGTCAAAGAATTATCAACCATCATTTTCATTTGTTTATTTCAATTTAATTAATGTGTGTGTGTGTCCGAACAAAAAGCACAATAATAATCGACCAACAACAACAACCAGAAAAACATTTGACAATAATAAAGGTTGTTGTTGTTGTTGTTGTATTTTTCAAAATAGTTTATAGAATTTGGCATCCAAATTCAACTAAATATTCTTCAGTGTATAGGAATATTATGATGATTTTGATTGAAGCGCATACTCCCGTGTTATACATTCGCGCCTATCTTATTCATTCAATAGATATTTGTGTGTGTGTTTGATGTGTGGATATAAGCCAATTTCAATTTATAACATTATCATCATTATTTTCATTCAGCAAACAGCAAAATAGATGTAAAATTGTATTGAATGGATATGATATGGGCGCTATTCGTTTATTTTGCTTCGTCTCTTTTTTGTCGTTTGTTGATTTTTTTTCTTCTTCTGGTTCGATAAATAACTTTCTGGGAGAATCCTATCTTTATTTTTTTCACCAATATAGCGTGTGTGTAGAAGTAGCTTTTTTTTGTTTCATCGGTTATATACCATATGACGATAACGTTTTTCGTCGTCGTCGTCGTTGTTTTTGTTTGTGTTCGAGTTTGAGTTTGAGCACCAAAAACATACAACCATAATTCGGGTATATCACACTAACCGCACACAAAGTATTTTTATTTTTTTCGGCTGAAACAAGAATTTCAAATTCAACAATAAAATCAAACAAAAAACAAAAAGAAATTCTGTTTGACTCACACACACACAGACACAGAGAGACTATCTCTCTAGAGATAGAAAATGAAATGATTATTTTACTTTTCATTTTTACATTTTTCATTTAAATCGATGATGACATTATATTATTTGAAACAATAAAAAAAAATCCATAAGGGAGCATTCTTCTTTTTATTCTTTTGCATCCTTCTTGTTGTATATAAAAGTATGTTAAGGACCCAAACATCATTTGTAACCCAAAAATGAAATAAAATAAAACCAATCCCATTTGTGTTGATGTTTTTATCATCATCATCATCATCATCATTCAATATTTATTCATTTATTCAATCTTGTCCTTTTTTCTGTTTTAATTTTATTTTTTTGACGCACCTCGTGTATTGTTTCATCATCAGCGTTAACATCATTTTTATTCATTTGTTTGTTGTTGATCTCATATATAATGTGGTGATATCTTTATTTTCTCAGAAATAATGGAAAAGACAAAACAAAACAAAACAAAACGAATTCCATTGCATTCCAATCGTGTTACTAAACACACACACCATGTGTTTCTTTATCTTTTGTTGTGATTATGATCTTATGTGTGATGTAATGTGATTTAAGATGTTCAAGATCCTCTCTTTCTCTCTTTCTTTGTTCATTTTGCTCAATGAATGTCAATTTTGTTTTGTGGCCAAAAAAAAAGAAAAATCAAATGAATGAATCTTATTGTGATGAAAAATGATAATGAAATTCAACATTTTTGGCTTGATCCATGGTGAAAACAAAACAAAATCAAATGATACAATTTGCTGTTAATTTCCATCATAATAACCTACCGAAATGGATTCGGTACAAATGGAAACATTCGTTTGGGTATGATATTTATGTTTTTTGTTTTTACTTTTTTTGAAAAAGAAATCGTGATTCAACTTAATTTTGTAAACCGAAATGTTTCAAACAAACAAGCTTAACAATATTGATCTTTTTTTTCGCAAAAATAGCGAAGCATTTCCGTATTCTGTTGTCATTCCAAAATGATTATCAATATTTTTTTTTTGTTCAGTAACAACAACAACAAAAAAAGCAATTCATCTTTGCCATTTTCGATCACATTATATGATTATCGATGATGATACTGAACTAATTAAAGTGAAGAAGAAAAAAACATAACATAACATAACATTGATCAATGAATTATAACTTTATTTAACTTTAATTTGATTTTGAAAATGATTGATTGATTGATTATCGAATGATTGTTGTTTGTTCGTTTAAAATGAATTAATCGATCATGGGGTAGGTGTGGTTTCTACACTGTCAAATCAAATTGTTGTTTTTTATTTGAAAAATCAATTTCAAAATTAAAATGAATCGAATCGATAATTTTTGTTTGGCTTGAATCCATCCCAAACCTTGACACACGAGTTTGTTGTAAATTAAAATTGGTGGTTTCATTTCATTTCTCTAAGGAAGCCTAAATTTCATTAAGAAATATTGATTTTGCAGGAAAAAACTTTTAATTATTTTTCCCCCTTTCTGTTATTGATCGATATTCATTTGATTCATTTTTGCTGTATTAATTAAAAATCGATTATTTTCTTATTGATGTTTAATTTGAAATTGACCGAAAACAAAGCAAGCAAAACAAACATATGGATTATTGCAGATGTGGATTGTCTTGATGCATATAATCCACATTATGACATCCAATTTTTTTTGCTAATTATAATCCATGGATGGTTTGAAACAACAAACATCGCAAAAAAATGTTTGCTCCAAAATGATAATCATTTTTCCTTGTTGTTGTTGTTGTTGTTGTTGTTTTGAGTTATAGGTTTGATTTTTTGTTAAACTATTTTTATATCGTTTCAAATTTCCAAAAAAAATTCCAATGAATTGTGCCCAGGATCACAAAAAAAAACTGATGATGATGATTATTTTAACGTAATGATTGTTTGAACATTGTAAACATTAAAAAAAAAATATTGAATGAATAAACCTTTTCATTAATTGATCTTGTGTTCATCTGATGATGATTTTTTTTTCTTCAAAATTTTCATTATCATTACACACGAATACATTATACAAATGAAAAAATATTTTTTATTTCGATCAGGTATGACAATTGGGAATAAGTTTTATGTATAATAATGCAAACGAATGAATCGATCCGAATGATGGACTTGTTGTTTTCGTTATTGTTGTAGTCCCTAGATGCTATTGTTTTGATGCATGGCACCCGATGCCATCATTTTTTTTTCTAAAAATTTTTGTTGTTTTGACTGAAATCGGTAAATCGTGACAATCAACATCATTAAACTTCAAAACTAATGATGATTATATAATTTTTTTTTGTTTTTGTTTGTTATGTGTTATATGTGTATCATCAAAAGTCATCGTCATCATTATGAATGAAAAACAACACACACACATCATGTCACAATGTCAAGCTATTGTTGTTGTTCTCGCTGTTGTAGTTGTTCATCAACAACCGAATCAGACAGATGCCCGAATTTGATTTACTTTTTTCAAAAAAAAAAAAAAATTAAAAAATTTTAACGCGTTTGCTACCAGCGACGCATATATGCGTCGTTTATTTGCTGTAGTTCTATGTGTTTTTCGAAATCTCCGGTAGCGAACGCGTTAAACTAATTTTTCAAATATAAAAAATTTAAATTTTTCTTCCCATTCCTAAATTAGGCTGATGAACAACGACAATGACAATTTTTGTTGTTGTTGTTAATCAAAGGGGAAAAGGTATATGGTCAAATGAACAACATTATAATTGAACATTTCCTGTAGTTTTTTGTTGGTCGCCGTTTTCTTCCTTCGTTTTTTTACGCTCTTGACATTTCTTTTCATTTTTTTTGTTCGTTGGTAAACAATTTTGCTTTCATTTTGTTGTTGTTTGTTGCTTCCGGTTAGGTTAGGCTAACTCATGTTTTTGTAAACCGAAATTGAAAGTTTTGTTTTTCTGTTTATTTGCTTGTTTGTTCGTTCATTGATTGTGTCATTGACTAATCATTAACCAACACACGAACACAAACACACA